GCTGGGAAAAAGACCTTGATTGTTCACCCTATCCATGCCCTCCATGATGTTATAAACTTCCATAAGATCACCCCTCAGCCTCCGATACTCCAGGGAAAAATGTCCAGTCTATTCAGCCTCTCTCTATAACTCAAACTCTCCAATCATGGCAGCATCCTTGTAAATCTTTTATGAAGCCTTTCAATTTTAACACCATCTTTCCTTTAGCAGGGCGACTAGAATTGAACGCAGTGTTCTAAAAATGGCCTCACCAATGTCTTGTACAGCCGTAACATGAACTCCCAACTCCTATATTCAATGCATTGACCAATAAAGGCAAGTGTACCAAATGACTTCTTCACCACCCTGTCTAACTGTGACTCCACTTTCAAGGAACTATGCACCTGCACCTCTAGGTGTCTTTGTTTGGCAACACTCCCCAGGGCCTTACCATTAACTATATATGTCCTGCCCTGATTTGCCTTACTAATATGCAGCACCTCACATTCATCTAAATTAAATTCCATCTGGCACTCCTCAGCCCATTGGCCCATCTGATCAAGGTCCTATTGTACTCTGAGATAATCCGCTTCACTGTCCACTACACCATCAATTTTGGTGCCATCTGCAAACTTACTAACCATACCACTTATATTCACATCCAAATCATTTACATAAATGATGAAATTTTTACTAGTTGGGAATTTAATGACGTATCAGCATTCTATTCTGCAATCTGTAAACCTAGCAGAACGTGGGGCATAAACATGGACTGGAGTCAGGTGCCCTGCCTTTCATTTCACCAGGATACAATGCTTGTGGTGAAGAGTTCTGAATAAGCCAGAAAGAAACCACCCAGTTCCAAAATGTGACAAAGAAATTACTTTTGGGTGATGTCTTCGTCATCAATTATTAATTGGCAATGTTTCAGAATTAACTTGTTACTGAATATACACGTGAGGAAATCATTCATTTTGAGGGTCCTGCTATGTATAAAAAGGGACAGTTAATTTACTGATTAAACAGTGAAGAAATGTTGGCTAAGAAATCTCCCTTATATTACTGTATTATAAATGAAGAGGAAACTATCTTTCAGATTGCCCTTAAACTATTGTCGCTGGAACTGAAACTGAGAAAATAAATGAAAGGAAATCTGCTGTTATTTTAAATGAATTTTTTGGGATTATCATTTCGAAAGGTTAGAATATCACACGCTGCCCACTGGTAGAATTGTGTAACATTTCCGAATCATTATCGATAATGCAATGTCACCACCTACTGTCAGAACATGAAATTAAACCAGACATTTTTTTTTAGCTAAACAAAAGTCATTGGGCCTGGCTGAGTGAATGAAATTCCATTTCTCTTCACATTCAAAATGACAGTGCTGAAAAATCCCCCACCTTGCTAGTGACTTTGCTATATCAGACAATTAGCATAAGATACTTATAGTTCAAGTAATTTCTCTGCACTGATGTTTAAAAGTTTACAACATCAAATAATGTACCTCCAGGCTGCACAAATCTCTCATGATTGGGTGTGTGTTTAGTTCTCACTTACCCCTATTGGATATTAGCAGAGATCCATGTCTGTTAGATATCAATAAGCTGATATTGCCTTCTCATTGCAGCCAAATTCCTGGTCAAATGAGAAGTTGGATCATTAACGATCATAAAAAACAAATTGTAAGGGGTCCGCTTTGTAACAAGTTACCACACTTACCATTCGAAAATAATTAGCTATTTACTTCCCTTGACCGAAGGTGTTTCGAAATCGAATTATATTTAATTGCTCTTTTTTTAAAAACACAATAAATTTACAAAGGTCTCAAACAGCAAAAGCTTCAGACATCAAAGATGAGTGTGTCAGGCAGACAATCCTACAACTTAGTTCAAGAATCTTTTTTCAAATTGATACTATCGGGGTCTATTTCTTATTTGTCCACAAGGTGTGGGCCCTAATTGCTCTTGAGAAGGCAGCAATGAGCTTACCTTTATCGATCAGTGCATTGAGTACAGGAATTGGGAGGTCATGTTGTGGCTGTACAGGACATTGGTTTGGCTACTTTTGGAATACTACATAAAATTCTGGTCTCTCTGCTATAGGAAGGATGTTGTAAATCTTGAAAGGGTTCAGAAAAAGATTTACAAGGATGTTGCCAGGGTTAGAGGGCTTGAGCAATGGGGAGAGGCTAAATAGGCTGGGTCTATTTTCTCTGGAGTGTTAGAGGCTGAGGGGTGACCTTATAGAAGTTTATAAGATCATGAGGAGCATGGATAGGGTGAATAGCCAAGGTCTTTGTCCCAAGGTTGCCTTTGTCGCTAGTCCAAAACTACAGGGCATAGGTTTATGGTGAGAGGGGAAAGATTTAAAAGGAAGCTAAGGAGCAAATTTTCACGCAGAGGGTGGTGCATGTATGGAATGAGCAGCCAGAGGAAGTGGTAGAGGCTGGTACAATTACAACATTTAAAAGACATTTGGATGGGTATATGAATAGGAAGGGTTTAGAGGGATATGGGCCAAATGTTGACAAATGGGACTAGATTAATTTAGGATATCAGGTCGCATGGACGAGTTGGACCGAAGAGTCTGTTTCCATGTTGTACAGTTCTATGACTCTATACAGGACCAGAATTAGGCCATTTGGCCCATTGAATCTGCTCCACCATTTGATCAAGGCTGATATGTTTCTCCATCCAATGCTCCTGCCTTCTTGCCGTAACCCTTGATCTTCTTACTAATCAAGAACCTATCTATCTTTGTCTTAAATGCACTCAATGACTTGGCCTCCACAGACTTCTGCAGCAATAAGTTCCACAGATTAACCACCTCTGGCTGAAGAAATTCCTCCTCATCTCAGATCTATAGGGTTGTCTCTTCACTCGGAGGCTGTGTCCTTAGGTACTCGTCTCTCCAACTAATGGAAATATCTTCTCCACACCCACTGTATCGAGGACTCTCAGTATTCTGTAGATGAGAATCCCTGCTCATCCTTCCAAACTCCATTGAAAACTCAGAGTTCCAGAGTCCTCGACCACTCCTCATATGACAAGCCTTTCATCTCAGGATCATTCTTGTACACCTTTTCTGGACCCCCTCCAAAACTGCACGCAATATTTCAAATGCAGCCTGACTAGAGCCTTATACAGCCTCAGACGCTTGCGAATGTGTTGCCAATCAAGCCGGCTGCTTTGTCCTGGATGATGTCAAGCTTCTTGGGTGTTGTTGGAGCTGCACCCATCCAGGCAAGTAGGGATTATTCCATCACACTCCTGACTTGTGCCTTGTAGATGATGTACAGGCTTTCAGAAGTCGTAAGGTGAGTTACTCGTTGCAGTATGCCTAGCCTCTGACCTGCTCTTGTAGTCACTGTATTTGTATAGCAAGTCTAGTTGAGTTTCTTGTCAACGGTAGCCTCCAGGATGTTGATAGTGGGGGATTCATTCATGGTATTACCATTGAATGCCAAGGGGCGAAGTTTACATTGTCTCTTAATGGAAATGGTCGTTCCCTGGCATTTGTGTGGCACAAATGTCACATCCCACTTATCAGCCTAAGCCTGCATATTGTACAGGTCTTCATGCATTTGAACAAGGAGCTGAGATGACTGACCTTCAACAACCACAACCATCTTCCTATGTGCTAGGAATGACTCAGACCAGCAGAGAGTTTGCCCCCTGATTCCAGTTTTGCTAGGGCTCCTTGATGCCACACTTGGTTAAATGCAGCCTTGATATCAAGGGTTGACACTGTCACCTCATCTCTGGAATTCAGCTCTTTTATCCATGTTTGAACGAAGGCTATAATGAAGTCAGGAGCTGAGTGATCCTGGCAGAACCCAAACAGGGCACCAGAGAGCAGGTATTGCTGAGTGGTTGCTGCTTAATGGTATTGTTGATTGCCATCACTTTACTGATAATTGAGAGAGACTGATGGGACAGTAATTGGCCAGGTTGGATTTGTCCTGCTTTTTGTGTACAAGACATACCTGGGCAATTTTCCACATTGTTGAGTGGATGCCAGTGTTATAAGTGAACAGTTTGGCTAGGAGTGTGGTATGTTCTGGAGCACAAGTCTTCAGTACTATTGCTGAATGTTGTCAGAGTACATCGTCTTCGTAGTATTCAATGCCTCCAACCATTTCTTGCTATCTTGTGGAGTGAACTGCATTGGCTAAAGACTGTTATCTGGTATACTGGAGACCGCTGGAAGAGACAAGGTGTTGTTTCACAATACTTCAGCAAAGGACCTGCAAATACAATAGCCTCCTTCTGTGAAACCTCTGATTCTGTCTCTGAAAAAGGAATTGGCTTGTTGTGCTAATTTCTTTATCTAATTCTTACACTCAAATGCAAATTTCTGGAAACAGCTTATAACTCTGGATTGTGTCTCATTTTCCCCGTGTCTAGTGGTTTGTTTCATTAAACACATTCCATTTTAATGTCAGGGAAGAAGTTATTTTATCTGCACTTGAAACATTAACTCTGTTTCTCTCCCAACAGATGCTGCCAGAGCTACCGAGTTTCTCCAGTAATTTCTGCTTTCAAACAGAGAACAGTAACGGGCCTTTCAGCCCACCATGTCTTGTTTGATATCTTCAGCATCCAGAGTTTTTTGTTCTATTTAAATTATTTTATCTTTTGCACTCAGATTGATGCACGAACTGTTAACGTAGGAAATGCATTTTCATCTGCTGAATAAAATTCTTCTAAAGATTGTGTTGTCACACGTTCTTTTAAAGATGGAGCAATTGATTGATTTCCTTCATCCGAGCTCAGCCATAGCTAACTGTAGCATTTGTACTAAAATCTTTGTTGAATTTGTTCATTTTTCATACTTGCTTCGTTTATTTTTGTTTACAAGTATCGTTGTTTTTAAGGAAGGGAATAATCCTCACAGTAGACCACCCTCCTGCACCAGGCTCCCTACATCTTTGCTCAAGTCTGAACATTGGCCCAACTTTTGTCTTCAGGCCAGCTGGTGACGCGCTTACCAAGGACCGAGGGGTTCAGGAGGACCCGGCGGGCGGTGACGTGTTATTTGTGGGACGGCGCCGGTCCCCGGATGTACCGCGATGCCGAAGGTGAAGCGAAGCCGAAAGCCGCCTCCTGATGGCTGGGAGCTGATTGAACCCACCCTGGATGAACTGGACCAGAAAATGCGGGAGGGTGAGTCCAGAGAGGGGGTGGGCACGGAGGAACGGGGAATGTTTTCTTCTCCGGGGTTGCAGGGGAGAGAAAGCCATCAATAGTCATCCAGGGAAGACTTGCATTTATGTAGCGCCCTTCGCGGCCCGACGACTCCGTGAAGTGTTTTGTAGCTACTGAAACGCTTTTCGAGGTGTGGTCGCTGCTGTAAAATGGGGAAACGCGGCAGCGGGTTTGTGCATAGCAAGATCCCACAAATTGCAACCCGTGCGTGATAATATCATGAGCGAACACAAACTGTCCCTGGAGCATCCCTGGAGAGAGTAGCAGAGTTAACGCTTCGAGTCCGGTATGACACTCGTTATGCCGGACTTGGAACATTAACTCTGTTTTCTTTTCACAGATGCTTGCCGACCTGTTGAGTTTCTCCAGCATGAACTGTGCCTGTTGCAGATTTCCAGAATCCACTGTGTTTTTCGTCTCATTTAAATGATAATGTTTTTCGAGGGACGTACATTGACCTACGTGGATCCTGATAATGACTGCCCTCGGGGTCAGAAAAGAAGTCAAGTTGCAAATAGCCTGGTTCAACCTTAAGCTGTAGCTGGAGAGGGAGGATGCGGTTTTGCTGCTAGCTGATGTTCAAAACGACACGATGAACTTTCCTTAATATCAGTACACTCGGACAATGAAGGCCATCAGTTTAGCTGGGACAACGTGACTATAATAGTCCAAGCCAAACACAGACACGCACGGGAATTCCTAGAGGCATGGTTCTCAACTTGTAATGCTATCAACAAACATATAGAATTGGACCCATATGCAAACCCATTCAGATCAAAACTGGAAATGACAGTACTCACCATAACAGAACAGACAGTATAAATTCCAAGCGGAGTAGAATAACATCGCCTCATGGAGGCCTCACCTAGCATGGTGACGAAACATCTGAATGAAAACAAGCCAGCTCAGCGAGCAAGTCAACAACGTCACCCACAACCGAGCTACAAATCTTTGCTAAAACTTTAAATGCAATCAGTGGCAAGGGAATTAAGTTTGTACCAGAGATGGTGCAGAAACAGTGTATTGAGATATCATAGATTTCTGGAGCAATGCCTTGTAGTTAGGAGTAAAATAGCATTAAAATATTGCTGGAATCTGCTTGCCTGCCTGCCCTCAAGCATGTTCACATTGTATGATATGGAACTGGAGGATCGATGAAGAAAGTTATTCATGTTTTAAAATGGCACAGTATTCTGAACCTTTACTATCTTCCTTGCTCACATACAGTCAATGCAACCTGTCATCAACAATAAGCATTACCAGTCTAACCACTGAACAGATACATTTTAAGAAAGGTGAAATCACTAATTTTAGCTCCTTGATCAACAATGAGAAGGGTAAAGAATTTATTGTGAATATGTAGCATGAAGAATACTTGCATCATGGAAAGCTGGTAACTAATGAATCAAAGATCATCCAGAGGGAGAAACTCCTACATTTGCCCTGCCGTCTCCTGAAAGAAGTGTTTGTTAGATTAGATGTCACCGTTTATAAAGTTTACCAAAGTTACTAGTAGACAGTATGGCTATTCATTGATATTAGGAATTGGTTTGACAATTCCTCAGGTTAATACTGTCATATAATCTGAGTCCTTGCTCATTGTACCCAAAGGAAGGTTTCTTTGAATTATCATTGCTATTATGGAGGTATTTAATTGCAACAAAGTTTCATATTTTGAGATTCTGCTATATTATTGCTCATTCTTTTTCTTGTAGCTGAAACTGAACCTCATGAAGGGAAGAGGAAAGTAGAATCATTGTGGCCTATCTTCAGACTCCACCACCAGCGAACACGTTACATATTTGATCTGTTCTATAAAAGAAAGGCAATTAGCAGAGGTAAGCAAGAAAGACTTGTTATGGTAACCTTGTTGAGTTGCTGCATTATATGTGCAGCCACTGTGTACAGGTGTGGGTGAGATGGATACATTAGTGCAGTAGGTGTGATATTGGCTAAACAAGGCACTATGATCTGCTTTTTGTTGGTGACTTATGTCAAGTAGTTGACTATTCCACTGCGGTTCTGATTTGAGATTTCTAGGTGGTGGAAAGGTTTTGAATGGTCAGGAGGTAAACCATTCCTTGCAGATTACACAGCCTGTGCCCAGCCATTGCAGTCACACTATTGTAATTGGAACAGTTCAGCTTCCAGCTAATGGAGACTCTTGGAGTGTTGATACAGGCCCACTGTGTGTTCATGACAAGGTACAGGGATGATGGTTTCATTTTGTTTCTTGATCTTTACCTGATCCTTATGTGTGCTACAAATTTTATCCACTGCTTGTCAGACAAGACTAGGCATTAACCAAGGTCTCTCTCTCAGCTAGTATTGGCTGCTTCATTATTGGTGGAAATGTGAATTAAGCTGAATACTGAAGTCATAAGCAAAAGCCCCCATTTCTGACCGTACAATATGGGGATCATCATTGATGAAACAACTGTAAATAGATGAACTGAGGATCCTTACCCAAAGATCTCTTGCAGTAATATCCTTGATTGTCATTGTTGGATATCATCAATCAGCTTTGCATTGTGTATCATTTCTTCCACTGGAAGTGGTTTCCCTTTGACTCCTAGTAATATTTTTTGAGAGTGCTTTTTTGTGTCATACTTGATTGAATGTCTTGGATAAAGGCATCTACACTCACCTACTCTCTGGCATCCGCTTTCACATCCATATCTAGAACAAAACTATAACAAGTGGATCCTGTCAATTCCAAAGGGTCAGTGAGTGGGTTTTGTTTGTTGACTTCGATTACCGATCCTTCAGAGGAAACTGATCAGACAAGTCTTACCTGATCAATAACCATTCTGCATTTGCTTTTTTAGTTCAATCAGGGCTGGTCACCTTTCCAATTGTCAGGTAAATTCCAGTATCATCTCTACAGGGGGAAGCAGCTAACTTTGGTTTAGTTAAACATCTTGAATCTTGTCAGGCTTTAGAAATTTTCCAAATGCTCAAATATCTAGTGTTATGTGGAATTGAATAGTCCAACTGTTCATGGATTTGCTAACACCAAGCTTCTGAGAAGTTAAAATTGGCATAGTTCCAGAGGACCATAGAGCTGCTCTCTCATTAGAGAGAGATGATTGGTGGTGGTTTAACCTGAGGGTCAACATGCTTCAGGTAAGGGGCAAATTTGAGAAGAGGGGACCTTCATGGTAATCTGTCCTAGTGCAGGATTGGAACCCGTCTAAGCTACTGTACTAAAAGTTATGTGTTATAATTTTTTTCCTAGTCTTTTTGAAAGATATTCTCTTTCTCATGCATTGCCTTCCAGAGTAGTAATGAACTGATGCAACCAGCTCCTTTTATAGTAACACAAGAAATTGATTAAGAGTCAGTCTTTGCTGTGGCCATTTGTTGTTTGTGCATTATTATTGGAATTTTTGACATTTTCCCCTGTTTTAGTATGTTTTATAGGGAACGAAACTCCTGTAAGTGCGTACAGTGTAACTGAAATTAAGTTCCAGCAGCCAGGCAGGAAACTGATAATTGGTGCTCTCTGCCAGTGATTCACTAATTGCAGTATTGACATTGTGATAACTTGTGCACCTGGATTTGTTGCAGTGGCGATAGATTGGAGGTGCCATGTAACTGGGGTTTAAATCCTGGGAAGAACAAGTAATCTGCTTTATTTGTCTGTCCAGTGTCCAGGACCTATTCACAGTGCACAGTTGTGCTTGTCTGATTTGTTCTAAAGATTTTGAGATCCTTCACTAATTCACTATAATTAAGTGGGCTGTTTTACAATCTTGTTTTGTAGAGCTCTATGATTATTGCATAAGGGAAGGATATGCTGACAAGAATCTCATTGCGAAGTGGAAGAAACAGGGCTATGAGAATCTGTGCTGTCTTCGCTGCATCCAAACCCGAGATACCAATTTTGGAACAAACTGCATCTGCAGGGTACCCAAGAGCAAGCTTGAAGTGGTGAGTCTCCCTGTTTGTTTCTAAACTGAGATTTCCTCTCTACAGGAAATCTGTTCAGAACCCACAAACTAAATGAGTCGACTGCAACATTCAGGTTGACATCTATTTGTTTAAGTAGACCACTGTGAAATAATACAAACTCCTTTACATTTTAGGTATGCTCGTGACAAATTAATAATTCACCCATGTGTCTGAATCCTAAAAAAGTTTACAATAATTAAAGATAGAATATGCTTCAGTATTTCAATAGGGATGTACCTTTGGTGTGAAGCACTTCCCATAATGCACCCATTGTATATTTTAATGGATAATAGTAATTAAATACTTTATTTTGCCTGGCATTTAGCATAGCACAGAATCTGTGTGATATCTTTAAGGCTCCTGGTTGCTTGCATGCAGCCTTGCATGCAGCCTAGCTGCAACATTGAACCAAGTGGGCTGAAAGCATGGGTATAACTGCTGGTACAAATGGACCGGAGGAAGGTACAAGATTGGAGGAACAGGAGGGAGGAGTCTTGAGTTGTAAAGCTGGATGATGTTGTGGAGATAGCAATAGACAAGGCCATGAAGAAATTTAAGCACAAGGATGAGGATTTTATTTTTATTTCCTGATTTCCCCAATTCCACAATGTCCGTGGTAGCTAAGCAAGACTTGATTAGAATATGAGCAAGAGGTTGAAGAAATTGATCAGGAGAGCATTGAATAAGCAACACTGAAAGGATGATAAAAATAGCTTATTTCAACAGCAGATTTACTAAGGTATATTAGAGGTGGACAGTAAAACAGAAATGAAGTAGGTTGTTTTTGCAATGGAAAGGACGTGGGCAATCAGGAATCAGCTTTGCATTATTAAATAGAATGTGTAAGTCTGGAATGGTTTGATTCAGTTTGAGGTAAAGACTAGGGGAGGGGTGTGACAAGGATATGGAACTTCTTGTAGCACTTGAAGATGATAGTGTTGGTTTTGCCAATCAAGAAATGCCAACTCATTCAAGATTGGAAGTTGGGACGAGTGGTATAACCAGAATTAGTAGAAATTGGTGGGTGGTGGTGGGGGAAATGCTAACCCCATGTGTTCAGGTGATATTGCCAAGGTTCAGGATAGAAAGAAGGAAGAGATGATCCAGGGATCAACTGTTGAGAGTTGCAGAGGTCTGAGTAGTTCAGAGTTCTTGTGATCATCAAAATTCAGCTTGAGACTGCTTTATAACTATTTCTCTTTTACCCCCACAGGGCAGGATTATTGAGTGCACACACTGTGGATGCAGAGGCTGCTCTGGTTGAATTTGTCTGTATTGGATGTAAGGGGTTTTAGTTTATGTATAATCACTTTTATTTTGAGTCAATATATGGACCATAATTAGGACAAGATGTACTCTGTATGCTATGGCTGTCTTCTAACTAGTTTTTTTTTCTCAAAATGGAATATAATGAATTAAAATGTATTTTAAAAGTGAAGTTTCAGAGCACTGTAGTCTTTATAAAATAACAAACAGTTTTCGAACCACTAAAATGCACAGATTGACCTGGATGGCATTCATGTCCACTCTGAATCACCATGTTATAAAGGGAGGTAATTTGACTTTGTGCAATTAAACCTTGGGTTACTGCAGACAGCCTTTAAAGGATGACTGTGGCTGCTCTGGGCTGGCTCGTTCTTTCAAACTAATTATATCAATATTAAACTATTATTGAAAGTCATCCTGTTCTATATCGTTTGTTATCCTTTTCTGTTGATTTGATCTGCACTTAAACTTTATTTCACAATAACTTTTATGTTCATTTCCCTGTATTGTTTGTTTTGTTTAAACTTTCTACAAAAAAAAGAAAATTTTGAGTACCAATTTCCAGGTCTGTTCCAGGGTACACAGGTAGATAAATTTTGTTTCACTCATTAGCCTGCATTGTCACCCATGCAAAGTAAACTTTTTACTGCATAAGACTCCTTAATTATAAAGATCAGTAATGATAAAGATCAGTACGTATTTAATACCTTGTATTCAGAAGAATTTATGTGTCCAAGTTTAGATCTTGTACTTAATTAAAATGAAGAATAGGGCAGATGTTTTTTGCAATAAAACCATTTGAAAGATGTGTTCCTTTTCTTTCCTTCAAGTGAGTATATTAGATCTAATCTTATGGTGAGACAGTTGCTTCATGTTACATATTCAAGGCACTGGGAAATTATTCCTCATATGACAACACCCTCTGACTTCATGCATACTGTCTCTTGGAATTTATTTTCCTAATTATTACTGCATCCTTTACTTTCTTTTTCTAAGAGCAGGTATGTTCAGGGATATTTAAGTTCAGTTTTCACTGAGCTTATCTACCAATACAGTTCCAAATTTTCTTCAGTTACTATGAAGAGGTAAAAGCACTCGAGTGGAAATCCTGACATTCCTGCTTTCCTGGTTTTAAAATAAAACAGACCCAGAGATGCATGCAAATTGCAACCATCATATCAGCTTGGTCCTGATGTGATAGATGTACATTATTTTTTATCAAGAACGTAGATTATTTCCGTACTTTTTTTAAAGGGCTGCTGGTATGGGAAGTGTTCCTCACTGCAGCAAATGTCAGACTTGTACTTCCAAGTGCATGTAGTACAAGGGTAATAGTCTAATTATACAGTTGCCACACTTAGCTTATCAGTCAAATCTTGACTCCAATCATACCAGTACCTTTTGTATTAAAAGCAAGGTTTTATTGTTAATATGCTAATTTAGGGTTCAGGTTACTGTTATGTAAAAGTAACAAGATTGATACTGTTCCTCTATATATAGTTTCCCAACAATGTTTTATAGTCCACCCCTCAGAAGACTAAGTGCCTGGAACCATGAAATGTATTTTCAACGTAAATATTAAACTGCGTTATCCAGAGTTTCTGTAAATTTGAGGCACTTATCATGTCATCTGTAAACTACAAAGAAATTTATCATTTAGCTTATGTTTAGGAAGTGGTTTTCCTTCATTTCTCTACAATTCCTGTTTCTTTAGACACCCTCCCCAATTCTTTTTTTTTTACTCAAAATAACCCTGAAACCCCATGTTAGTAAATGGATAGAAAATAAACAGATCTTTTGAAAAACTAGACAAGGCTTGTCCTAAAGAGATCAGAAAGTCAAAGTAGTTGTCTTGGCCCTGCAGTAATAGTGCTGGAAATGAAAGACCAGTGCTTTCCAGATCAGGATTGACCTGAGAGCTGGCAATTATACAATGACTCACCAGAGGAGGACATCCTTTGGCTCATTGTGCCTTTACTGGCTCTCTGAAATAACTGACCAACTGCCCTCACTGCTCTGTTCTTTACCTACAGTCCTACAATTTTTGCAACTTAGTAACTGTCCTTTTAGGGAAGGAAATCTGTCATCCTTACCTTGTCTTGCCTACCTGTGATGTCAGACTTTCAGAAATGAGGTTGACTCTTAAGTGCCCCTTAATAATTAAGTATGGGTAATCAATGCTGCTTTTCAGTGATGGCCGCATTCTGTCATCAAGTTTTAAAAAACTATCTATCCAATTCCTTTTGAAAGATGTTTGTTATTGAACCTGCTTCAAACATCCAGTTCACCAGTCATAACTTTGGCAAGTTTTCTTCAATCCACATCTTATGGATACTAACCTGGCTGCTTGTACTATCCTGCTGTTTGTGATTTTGAGTATCTAACAAATCTCCTCTGAACGTTTGCTTGAATGGAGAACAACCACAACTTTTATAGTCACATGTAACTAAAGTTTAGTATTGTTAGTGTCATTCTCATAAATCTCTGCACCCTCTCTAAGGCTCTGAAATCCTTGATGAAGTGTGGTACCTGGAATCATCACAATATTCCAGCTGAACATAACCAACCTCTGAAAATCTGGCATAATTTCCTTGTTTTTATAAATAGAGGCACAGAGTGTAAAATAAAGGTTCCCACATCTTTTTAACAACTTTGAAGGTGACAGGACAGGTTTAAAAGGATTGGGTGCCTATGTTCATACATCTCTCTGTCCCTGCATTCACCCTGAGATTGTACAATTTACTTCATATTGTCTCTAAAATCTATTACTTCACAATTCTGCCTTAAACTTTAACAGGCATGTGTCTGCCCATTTTGTTTGTCTGCGTCCTCTTGCATATACCTCACTGTCAGCACAGTTTTGTCATCTTCAAGCTTTGAAATTTTGCTCTGCAGTCATAAATGATATAAATGAATGTGCCCCAATGCTGACTATTGCAGGATATCACTGAAAGACAACAGTTTAAGATGCTGGTTTCTGAACTGTAACCAATTCTGCATACACAGTCACTACCCCTTCAAGCAAATGAGCTTAAGTCTCGCTAGGAATTTTATCACCTGGTATCTTATTGAAATTGTTTCAAACGTTCATAGCCACATCAACCAATCTAACCTCAGCAACTCTTACTTCATCACCATATTTACATTAAATAGTTCCATGCTAGCTTTCATTTCTTAATTCAAGTGATGATTGATTTGTCTCCAAAATCCACCTCTCCACCAATTATAGGCTGACTGGCCTGTTGTCATAAGATTGAACCCTCTTCCTTCTTGAACACCAGTGAAACAGTTGAAATCCCTTGTCCTATGGCAACACAGCCACATCGAAGCCAGAGCCTCTTGAATCCAATCTGGACCAGCTGACTCTTCTGCTTTGAATGCTGCAAATCTTTCAAGTATTTTTTAATCCTATTTCTCTACAATCTCCACTGTGATATTAGCAACATCCTCTTCATCATGAAGACAGAATATTCATTTACTACCCCAATGTACCACTTACAAAAGTCTCAAATCAGGCCCCACTTACCTCTGACTAATCATGTTTATAAGACTTCTGACTTCCCTTTTATATTACCTTTCTTATGACACTTTATTTACTCCTCATATCTTTTTCAGTTCTTCCCATGTTTTCTGTTTAGTTTTCTACTGAATTACATCGTAACAACATCATAAATCCTTTTGGTTTCACTTTATTTTCTATCACTTGCCATTCTAGTTTTAGATGTTCAACTTCTCCCTAGTAGGATTATGTCTATTCTAGGTCTCTTCTTTGAACATCTCACAATGCTCATTTACTATTTTACCTGCCACTTGATTCCCCAGAAGTAGTCTAACACCTTTCTGAACAGGCTGAAAACTTTTGATTAAGAATGTCCTTGTGCACATTTCAGGGATTCTTCCTTCTCTTTGTCATTACATTGTTATTTTCCTACTCTACATTAGTAATAAGATATTTGAACATCCTCATTATCAGTTCTTATACATTACTGCAATCTTTGTACAAATTGGCTCCTCTATCTCCATCCCATTACTTGGCAGCCTATTATATATCCAGTAACTATAATAGCTTCTCTGTTGATTCTTAATTAGAATAAAATAGATTCAATGTTTGAACACTCAGGACATTTAGCCCTTACTGGTGCTGTACCCGCAGCCTAGCTCATGTTGTTACCACTGCCTCCTTTCTTTTCTTCTCTGTCATGTTTAAATACACTGCAAACTACAAATATGAGGTCCACTTCTTTCCTAGTTTAAACTGACTCTCCATTACAGCTGCTGTATTGTAATCTTATATACCTACATGTCCTTGCAACTCACCAATCTTATCTCAGCATGCTATGTGTGCCAAGTCCATCTCTGGCCAAACTCAAATTTTCTACAGTCCAATGCCCCCTATATCTGAGCTATCTTTTCCTTATGCCATTTGTCTTTCCCAGTCCCATCTGTATCTTAATTATTTTCTCATTATTTATTCTGGTGTTGCTGCTCATGTCAAATTAGTTTAAACATTGCTTTACAACACTAAGCCACCCCCCCCCCCACAAAAAGCATTAATTGCAATCCTGGTGAGGTGCAATCTGTTCACTGTTTACGAGTCTGAGGGCTCCAGGAATCTGAAGCCCTCCCTTCTGAAACCATACTCCAGCCAAGTGTTAACCCGTCTTGTTGCTTCCTTACTTATGTGGTGCGGTAAGTAATTCAAAGGTCAAATTTCTAAAAAGGCAGTCCTGTTTCTTACTGCTTTGTCCTGTATAAATTTAATGAGGTTGGAAAGGAAGCTTCATGTATGGGCCATGGAACAAAAATCAAATCTATCCCTGACATAGATGATGTGCAGAGTATACGTGACAAAAACAGAATTGATTACATTCAAAAATCAAAGTGAATTTTCTATTTCCCGTGGTGTTCTTGCTGAGCAGGACTATCACCAAACTTCCTCTGAAGCTGGACATTGTTCAGGTCAGGAGTTACTGTTCAGCGGTCCTGGGTGTCAATTCTGCTTAAAGCCCATATTGTTTTCTATTAGAGTCATACACCATGAAAACAGACCCTTTGGTCCAACCAGTCCATGCCGACCATAATCCCAAACTATACTAGTCCCACCTGCCTGCGTTTGGGCCCCTATTCTTACAAACGTTTCTTATTCTTGTACAATAAAAGAACTAAAAATGA